GATTTGGACTTCAAGACCACTCCAAGACGTAGCATCAGCTTAAGAAGGGCCTTAAAAACATTATAATCATTGGACTTCATCAAATCCAGTTCGAGGAGATTAACACATGAGTTAGCTTTGCAATGCAACTGGAATCAATCAATTTGACCGAGTAGATTGGGAGATATCTCTATTTCCCTGAGACATATACGAGAGAGCTTAATCGGACTGCATCAGTACATCAGACGGCAGCAGCGGCTTGGACCCTTAAACTCAATGGATTTCCATGAAACTCATACACGATATAGCCAGATGAGTTAGTGTTCTAATGCCGTTGGAAGTATGCAATTTGGATAAGCCGTTTAGGAGATATCACGTTTGTACTGAAGACTGGTTAACAGCCGGCCGAACGCACTCGGCCGGACAGGAAGGGAATTGGCTTCGCTCGGCCTTCTCCAGGACCGATCCGGCCGCACGACCGCACCGTCCGACCCGGGAGGCAATGGACCACGATCGACCGAGATCATCACATCACGGCCGACCCCGACGGCCGACCAGCAAATGCCGCGTCGACCCGATCTCCGCGAACAAGAAGCCCACTTATGCAGTTTTGACAATTCTCAGCCCAATTAACCTAAACCGACTTGTGAAGACCTAGGGCACTATAAATAATTTTTTAGCCTCTTTAGAGGAGAGAGCCGCATTAGTTTTAGAGAGTTTACATTGATTTCGTTTTAGAGCTTCATGGGAGAAGATCTCACCTTTGTAACACTATAGAGGAGATTTCTAAACCCTTTTACTTTCTATCAAGTTTTATTATGAATTCTTCTTCATCTCTATGCTTGATCTGTCTTACTATGCTTGAGTAATCTCCTTGTTGGGTTTAAGAGTTTTCAAAGGGTTTTCATGGATTGATTGTTAGGTTGCTAGATTAGGGTTTTATCATTAAAGTTCTTCATCTAAGTTTGTGTTTATTGCTTGTAGCTTGATTGACCGTCTAAGCTAATGCTCTTAGGTAGATTTACTTTCTGACCGCTTGATAAATCTCTTGAATCAACTTAGATGAGCAAGGCATAGTAACCTACGGAAGTAGAATTGCTAGGCTTTGTGAACTAGACCTACGGAAGTAGATCTATCGAATTTGAACTGTTCTTACATGCTTAACCTCTTGATTACCTGCGGAAGTTGTGTGATTTAGGTTGTTAGACATAGTAATTGGCACTGCGGGAGTAGGTCAATTATACTTATTGATTCGAGTTCTAGAACAAACTATTGATTTCCCTATCTATTTGCTTGATTTAATCTATGAAACCTTGAGGATTCTCTGATGCCCAATGCTTTCTTCTATTGCTTTCACCTTATTTACTTTGTTTTGCTTTGAAACCGTGACAACAACAAACCTCCATACTTGAGTCTTAGCTTGATTCGAATCTCATAAACTCATAGTGTAAACTTATCTGGTCCTTGTGTTCGATAACCCGTTACTACATCTGACCTGTGCACTTGCAGAATCAGGGATAGGAATAGGTAAAACCTGATCCCGCATCAAGTTTTCAGCAAGGTTAGTGGGTCTTATCGCTTGCAGCCTAGAGGTTCAGACTTTTGTGCCACAATTGACAGTACCACTCTCAGTTCTAAGACTCATGAAGCTACAAAGGTTGTGAAGGAAAGGTTGACAAAGAACCAAGAGTTGGGAAGGATAAGGTTGAGAGAGGACCAAGGATTGAGAAGCCACGTCTTGAGAGGGCTAGAGTTGAGAAACCACGTTCTGATAGACCACGAGCTGATAGACTTGTTCAAGCCCCTTGTGTGCTTGATGAAGAAAGCCTTCAAGCTTTGTTTGATGAGCCACTAGGAAGGGCTCTAAAAGAAGGGGAGGATGTAGCCTCTAAGGCAAGACCAGGTGATAAAAGAAAGGATCCACCAGCTCAGGCCCCTTCATTCAAGCCATCTCAGCTCACAATGACTTTGTTCCCCACCAAGTTTGAAAATGGGAAGATTGAGTACAAGATAAGGTACAAGGGGAGATCAAGGCCATTCTCTAGAGCCAAAGCCTTGGTGACTTCAGAACAATCCAGGGACCCAACCAAGCTAAAGGAGCTTCTGTCTCAAGTCCTCACTATCACCCTTGATGGTGGGACTAGCTCAACCAATGCCTAAGAAGGTAAAGGTCAAGCTATGGGACCTTAAACAAGCTCACTTGGGAGGAAGTCCCATGTTTATCCTTGTACATATTCTTTATGCAATTTCTATCTATTTTGTGTCTTTAACCTTTCAATAAGTTAAGTTTAGGTGACAAAGGAAGCCAGCTCGACCGACAGCTCGATCGAGCTAGAAACAAGGGCAACTCGATCGAGTTCCACAACTCGACCAAGGTAAGTTTTGAATTTCAAATTTTCAACCGTTTTCCTTGGTCAAGGGAGTGGGTCCCACAAGTTAATTTTGGTCCCCCACTTCCTAATTCGATCAGAAAAACCCTTGCCCTTTGTCCCCTTTTATTCACCTTTTAATCTCAACCACACATCTCAAACACTCCCTCTTCCCCATAACTCGATCGAATCCACCTCTCCCACACCTAAATTTTCTGAAATCACCTCTCTCTCTTCACCACAAGAAAAAATCGAATTTCCTCTCTTTCTCTCTAAGTTTTTGCGATTTTCATTGTTCATCATCTTGTTTGCTTTAGTTCTAGCTTCTGTGATTCTTCCATCATCCAAGCAAGGTATGAACCCTAAACCCTTGATCCTCATCTCGATTCTCTTATTGCTTGTTTTCTCTTTGATTTTGATTGCATGTGCCCCTTGGGTTTATTCTTGAGTAATTGCTTTCATATCATCTCCTGTATATTTGTGAATTTGCCTCACCTCACCTCTGTTTTCACTTAGAACTTGTTGCATGTCTTGTTCCATTGAATTTGAGTTTGGTATTGGTTAAGGTGCTTGTTTTCACTAGAATTGCTATTGTTCCATTTACTTAGTTGTTCTTGGTTCAATTTGATTGATTAGCATCCTTTCCAGCTCTTATTGTTTGAATTAGGTTCGGTTATACTCTGTTTTCACTTAGCTCGATCGAGTTTGTCACTCGAGTTTTTTGACTCGATCGAGCTGAGTGTCGAGTTGACCAAACCGATCATTACAACTCTAATTCTTGAGTTTTTGATGCATTTCAGGAACCAACTTCAAGAAGCAACCAGTTTAAGATGTTGAGAGGTGAAGGAAGCAAGGCAACTTCACAGAGAGGAAGGCTTCCTGCCCAAGAGCCTCACAGAGACTCTTCTTTCGAGTCTTCAGAGAAGGAGGAAGGCTTCCAAGGCCAGATGCTCCAGCTCGACCACCGGACTCGATCGAGTCCAAACAGAGGAAACTCAACTCGGTCGAGCTGAGGGCAAAGCCTCAACTGGTAAGATGCAAACACAAACACAGTCAACAATTCCATTTAGGTTTAGGGTCAAAGGAAAGTCAAGGGGGAAGCAACATTTTTCGGGTTTGACTTTGACTTCTCAGCTCGATCGAGTTGAAGCTTGGCCGGTCGAGTTGAGGAACTCGACCGGTTGGTCGAGTAGATGGTCGAGCTGGTCTTCAAGATGGCTTCTCCTTCTTCCTTTGCGTATCCAGTTGAGCTGCGTCCATGTGCCAAGTCCCTCCATGCTCCTCACGTCCCATATGCTCCAGAATGCTCCAAAAGACCTATTTCAAAGGACCAAACATGCATATGTATGCAAATGCAACCTAAAACTACTATGAATGCATAAGAAGAGAAAAGGAACAAGATATGATGCAAATGGATGCTAAAACTATGCAAAAGATGCATAAAAGATGTACTAAAACTATGCAAAATGCAAGTACATCAACACCCCCAAACTTGAACTTTGCTTGCCCTCAAGCAAACAAATAGAACAAGAAAGAGATGAGGTTTGAAAACAGTTGATTCAACACTTAAAAACATGTCCTCAAAAGCGATTTGCTAAATGTCCAACTTAGAGATTCTAGAATGCAACAAGGTGAGAGATATTCATTAAGATTTAACCATGCTTATCAACATCAATCCCACTTCACAGTCACTCAAACAATGCATTCAAATCAGCAAATCCCTTTAACATTCATTAAGCAAAAACAGTGAACCAAAAACATGCAAGATCAATCAACTCATTTGGTTTCAAGGGTTTATGGGTTAAGAGACAAAGAGGGTCTCTTTTGTATGGTGGTTTAGTAACAGGGATCTCTCAAGAAAGTGGCTTTGCTTTGGCAGAAGGCTAAGTGTTAGAACCAAAGATGATGCAAGAACAGCAGCTCGAGCCGCCTAATCCTAACTCGATCGAGTTCAACACTTAGAGCTTTTTAGAACAAAATCCTAACTACCCTTTTTGGCATTTCGCCTTTGAAACTGAGGAGCTTTGCTCACTTTTCTTTTAAGAACTTCCTAGGGAGAGGCTTCTTGAGGTAACATCTAGCGGTTTGGGATTTTCTAAACACTTAGGGAACTTTTCTTTCCTTTTTGACACTTGAGGCTTTGCCTTCTTTTCTTTCTACTTAGAACCCTTTTTACTTCCTTTTTTAACTTCCCAAACCTTTACTAGACCCTTTTTAACACTGCCAACTCCCTGGACTTAACTAAACTCTTTTTCTTTGGTTTTCCCAACTTTTACCACTTTTCTGGTTTTTGACACCCAACTCGATCGAGCTCGAGTTGGCACCCCCAAACTTAGCCTGAAAACAATCCCAAGAGAACTAGACAACTAGAACTACTGCCCCTGCCGGTTTAAACACAACACCTTATGCTAAGCAAAGCCAAGAAAGGTTCTCACAATCGCACAAGAGATAATCAGCTATGAAATATGGGTAAAGAATGTCCAGATATGTATGTGGTAGCCATGAGTTGAAATCAAATGCAAGCATTGGTAATTAAAGATCAAGTTATGGTTCAAATAGATAGGGAAATGCATCAAATCACAGCAATGGTTGAATGAGATGTGCATGCAGTGATATGATCAAGATAAACATGGTTCTTGCTGCTCAATCAATCTCACCCTAATGCACAAAAGAATCTAAAAACAGGGCACTCAAGAAATCGCAAAAGATGACAAGTTTTCAAAGTCAAATCAACAATGCAAGTGAAAAATGCAATCCTAAACAAGTCTAACAAATATGAATGCAAAAAGATGAAAATATTTTTGGATTTTTTGAAAATTTTATGATTTTTTTGGTTTTTCTATGCAAAAGATAATGAAAAACTAAGAACAAAGAAAACAAGGTTAAATCATCTCTTGAACCCTCCCCCAAACTTAAATCACACAGTCCCTTGTGTGAGAAAAATTTAGTGAAAGATTCAAGAGGGCAAAACCAAGAAAAAACAAGAACAAATGCAAGAAAATATGAAATGGTATATACAAGGGTTGGTGTTTGGATACCTCAGTGTCCCCCAAAGAACTGGGAGGCTAGGTCGTGGTCTGGAGATGGTAGACGGCCATCAGGAGCACTCCATGCAACTGGGTTCTCTTGGCTCACTCGATCGAGCTTGTGGCTCCTCTTCCTCCTCTTCTTCATCTCAAAGTGTGTGTGGCTTCCTTGGCCTTGGTGGAGCTTGGTGCTCGAACTGTCCATAGGGGTCCATCTCTGGGAGAAGTCCTGGTAGGTTGGATCGTACTCGAATCCCAGGATTCTCAAACTGGGGCTCCTCCAGGTCAACTCGACCGTCAGCTCGATCGAGTTGAGTTTCCTCTGTTTGGACTCGATCGAGTCCGGTGGTCGAGCTGGAGCGTCTGGCCTTGGAAGCCTTCCTCCTTCTCTGGCTCGAAAGAAGAGGCTCTGTGAGGCTCTTGGGCAGGGAGCCTCCTTGGAGTGGTGAGGAGTGATCTACTCCTAGGGAAAGTGGGGCCTTGGACTTCTTCTTCTTGCTTGAAGAACCAGAAACCTTCTTCTCCAAACTCTTGATCTTGCTCACCATCTTGTCCATGGACTTTTGCATCTTCTCAATGGCTTTCCCTTGCCATTTGTTGAACTTTTGGAGAAGTCCAATCCTCTTGTGGCAGCCACAACAGAGGGGTTCATCCTTGGAGCCTCATACTCCTCAAAGTAATAGCACTCAGGCTCACCCAAATCCGCACTCTCCTGGCACTCAGCTCGATCCTCAGCTCGAGACTCAGCTCGATCCTCAGCTCGATCGAGCTCAGGCTCCTCTTCTCGCAAATCATCCTCATGCCCAACTAATGTGTACACAGGGGGTCTGAAGTCAATGTTCTCACCCCTGCTACTGTGGTGAGCTCTGGGTTGGGCAGGAGAAGCTTGGAGGGTCCAGCCAATGGATGTGTGAACTTGAATTGGAATCTCCCATCCAACTCCTTGTGCTCAATGAGAGGTTGGTCTTGCAAAACTTGATGTCCATCCAACCTGGTTCAGTAGGCTCTCTTATCAGTTGGGTTCACTCCAGCAGCACACAAGATAGGTGTGATGAGCCCTCCAACACTTAAGCCTTCCTCGTTGATGCCTAGTGTTGTAAGCTGTGATCTTGTAGGTAAGGAGATGGTCAAGGAAGGCATCAAGTTCCCTGTGTCAGATCTATCTCCTCCTGATCCTCTTGCCATCCTTGTGCGTGAGATGAATGGGCTTGATTCCCATGTCAAGAAACTTGAGTTCCCCTCATTGATTGTCCAGGTGCTTTCCTTGCAAAGAAGGTGTTGGCAAGTGCCTTGTGCACATACCTCAAGCACTGGGCTCCTGATCTGAGCAGCCTTGGACCTTGAGGAAGAGTACACTCCATCAGCGATTGTAGCCCAAACCCTTTGGAGTTCCTTTTCCTTGAAGTTCCACTTGGTTCCCTTCTCCATAGTTGAACCCAAACAAGATTCCAGCTGCCTAAAGGTCACCATTCTCTTCTCTCCCTTAGCCAAGAACGTGATCCATCCCAATCCTTGGTCCAAATCAGCTCTATCTTCTCTCATACATGTGATACCTCATTGAAGCCAAGAACTCACAAGTGAGCTCCTTGTAGGATTCCATGTGGTAAGAGAAAACTTGGCCAAGTGCATGTTCTTGAGAAACTCCACATCCTCAAAGATTCCAAGGGCCTTCATGTGTCAACATGTGGGTACTTGGTCTCCAAAGTCCATGGAGAAGAGAGCATTGTAGTGCTCTTGGTACATGGGGAGCTCATCCTCTCTTCCTCTGACTCCTCTCTCCATGGGCACATTCTCATTGCTCCTCATGCTCACTTCTCCTCAATCTCTTGATTCACCTCTTCCTCCTCTTCTTCACTTGGAGACTCATCATTCTCCTCTTGGGTTTCACTCCAATCTCAAACTCTCCTTGCTTCACTCTCACTACTAATAGGATCATTCCTCTTCTTGGTTCTCCTCTCTTCCCTCAATTCTCCTCTCAGACCTCCTCAGAGACATCCTTTCTTCTTCCTTGATCTCACTTTCCAACCTCATCTTGCATCCTTTCTCTCTTCTTGCTTCTCTCCCTTGCTTTCTGAAGCTGCTTGGCTTCCTTCACCTCTCAACATCTTACTTGTTGCTCTTGAGTTGGTTCCTGAAATGCATCAAAAACTCAAAGAATTAGAGTTGTAATGTTGGTTTGGTCAACTCGACACTCAGCTCGATCGAGTCAAAAAACTCGAGTGACAAACTCGATCGAGCTTGGGTGAAAACAGAGTATAACCGAACCTAATTCAAGTATTAAGAGCTGGAAAAGGATGCTAATCAATCAAATTGAACCAAGAACACAAGTAAATGGAACAATGAGCAATTCTAGTGAAAACTAGCATCTTAACCAATACCAAACTCAAATTCAATTTCAAGCACATGCAACAAGTTTAAGGCAAAACAGAGGTGAGGTGAAGCAAATTCACAAGATTATAAGAGAAAAAGAAAGCAATTACTCAAGAACAAGTCCACAAGGGACACATGCAATCAAAAATCAAAGGAAACAAGCAATAGGAAATCGAGATGAAGATCAAGGGTTTTAGGTTCATACCTTGCTTGATGATGGAAGAATCACAGAAACAAGAACTAAACAAAGACAAAACAAAGAGAAATCGCAAAAACTTAAGAGAAAAGGAGAAATTCGATTTTCTTGTGGTGAAGAGAGAGAGAGATGATTTCAGAAATTTTAAGATTGTGGGAGAGAGAGAGGTGGATTCGATCGAGTTATGGGGAAGAGGAGTGTTTGAGATGTGTGGTTGAGATTAAAAGGTGAAATAAAGAGGGAACAAGAAGCTAGGGATTCTCTGATCAATTAGGGTAGTGGGGGACCAAAATCAGCTTGTGGGACCCACTCCCTTGACCAAGAAAACGGTTATGAATTTGAAATTCAAAAACTTACCTTGGTCGAGTTGGGAACTCGATCGAGTTGCCCTGGTTTCTAGCTCGATCGAGCTGTCGGTCGAGCTGGCTCCTTGACACCTAAACTTAACTTATTGAAAGGTTAAAAACATAAAGATAGATAGAAATTGCATAAATAGAGTATGTACAAGGATAAACATGGGACTTCCTCCCAAGTGAGCTTGTTTAAGGTCCCATAGCTTGACCTTTACCTTCTTAGGCATTGGTTGAGCTAGTCCCACCATCAAGGGTGATAGTGAGGACTTGAGACAGAAGCTCCTTTAGCTTGGTTGGGTCCCTGGACTGTTCTGAAGTCACCAAGGCCTTGGCTCTAGAGAATGGCCTTGATCTCCCCTTGTACCTTATCTTGTACTCAATCTTCCCATTTTCAAACTTGGTGGGGAACAAAGTCATTGTGAGCTGAGATGGCTTGACTGAAGGGGCCTGAGCTGGTGGATCCTTTCTTTTATCTCCTGGTCTTGCCTTAGAGGCTGCATCCTCCCCTTCTTTAGAGCCCTTCCTAGTGGCTCATCAAACAAAGCTTGAAGGCTCTCTTCATCAAGCACACAAGGGGCTTGAACAAGTCGCTCAGCTCTTGGCCTATCAGATCGTGGTTTCTCAACTCTAGCCCTCTCAAGACGTGGCTTCTCAATCCTTGGTCCTCTCTCATCCTTATCCTTCCCAACTCTTGGTTCCTTGTCAACCCTTTCCTTCACAACCTTTGTAGCTCCATGACTCTTAGAACTGAGATTGGTACTGTCAATTGTGGCACAAAAGTCTGAACCTCTAGGCTGCAAGCGATATGACACCAAACTATTCACCTTGTGAAGGATCACTTCTTGCTTGTGAAAGTCTATTGAAGCGCCAACTGTACTAAGGAAAGGGGTTCCCAATAGCAAAGGCAAATCCTTCTCTTCTTCCATTTCCATCACAGTGAGATCAGTTTGGATGATGCATTCTCCAATTTTCAAGTGATAGTTCTTGAACACTCCAAGAGGAGACTTAGAAGTTGCATCTCCAAACATGATTGAAGTAGTAGGGCGCTGCAAGGCTCCAGCATGCCTAGCTTCTCTGCCATGGAGAGAGAGATCAGATTGATGCTTGCTCCAGAATCCACTAAGGCATTGTCAATCTCAAGATGCCCAAGTGTGCAAGGGAGAGTGAATTTCCCTTGATCCTTGACCTTTGGTAGGAAGGTGGGTGAAGTAAGCAGGTTGAACTGATGAGTAGACTCTTGTAGGACCTCTGAAACTTTATCACTGTTGGCCAGAACATCCTTGACCATTTGCATTTGATCAAATGCCTCACTCATGCTATCCATAGAGGCAACTCAATTCCAATCCCACTGAGATCTCTTCTGAACTTGTGAATCACTTCCTTGTGACCTTGACTAAGTAGGCGAGACGAGGAAGCGGCAACCGGTTGTAAGGATCAAGCAAAACAGGCTTGAGGACAGAAGGGTCGGACTCGATCGAGCTAAGGCTAAGGTTCGATGATGTTGAGTCAGGTTTTACCAAACTCTAAGAACAGTCTAGAACACAGATCACGAATATAAAACCATTCCACTTTCGAGGCTCCGGCTCCTTTGTTAATCTACCTAGTCGCTAAACTTTTGGTATGTCCCTAGGTGATTAAATCAAGCTTTAGAATGAATAGGTTCTGATACAGTTCACTAGATATAGTAGATCAACTTTCGCAGTCTAAGAAACCTAGCTTGTCAAAGAATATGTCCGGCGAATGATACAACACTGTCGAGGCTCAAATCAACCTAAGATCGGATTACTAGATGCGCGGTAAAGCAATCAGCATTAGTTAAGTGCACAAGACGAGACAAAGACTCTAATATAATCCCTAGCTAATCATTGAAATCAAAGATCATGCAAGCAACTCATTGAATAGTAACCCTAGCAACCTAACTAGTGGATTACTCAGACATGATCAAAGCAAACACACATAGAGATGAAGAAAACATGATTGCAATAAAACTTAGAGTAGGAAATCGAAATACAAGGGCGGCTCTCTTTCACAAGAGGCTAAAAAGCTATATATATAGTGCTAGGTCTTCAGAGGCGGCTTAGGGTTAAGCCGGGCTTGAAAATAGTGAAACGGGCTTCGGGTGCGTTGGGACGGTCGGTCGGGACGATCGGGATCGGTCGTGGCCGGACGGAATTCGCGGTCGGCCGCTGTGGTCGGACGGTGAAGATTGGCCGATGTTTCTCGGCCGGACGCGGGACGTCTTCCCGGCTCGGACGGATGCATCGGCCGTGGTACGCGAGTAGGTTGCGCGGCCGCGAGGCGTTGCTTCCCGGCTCGCGCGGCGTGGCGCTGTGAGTGGTCGTGGCTTGGCCGACCGCGGGACATGTTTCCCGGGTCGTGATGCGTGATCGGCCGGATGGTTTGAACTTTGGCCGAGACTTCAGACGGACGGATGATTTTGGCCGCGGAACATTCGTTCCTCGGCCGGTCTGCGCGGTTGGGCGCTTTCTCGATAGAGCCGTCTGGACAGTCTTCACTCTTTTGGTTATAACTCCTTTTCTACTCATCCAAATGAGGCCGTTCCAGTTGCGTTGGAAAGTTAACTCAATCAGAGCACGCAGGGAACTGGTCTTGATGAAATCCATTGAGTAGATCTTTTTCTGGGCCCTCTTAAAGTTGATGCTTGTGCATGGAGCGGCTTGAAGTGCAAATCCTATGGTTTTGCTCCAAAATGCATCATTTCACCTGTTTAGACTCTAGACACTATAAACACAGTAAAACTACCTTTTTAGATAGAAAACCTGCCAAAAACCATTAGAAAACAATACTAAAACAGTATAAAAAGTGTAAATAGAGGTATATCAACTCCCCCAGACTTAGATCTTTGCTTGTCCCCAAGCAAAAAGAATCTAAATCCGTGAAAGAGGTTTGAAAACGTGGAAACTCCCTTGCTCTTTTGAATATCCTGTGAAAGGTTCCTTTCCTGTATTCCACTATGAACATAGACAACATAAGGTTAGCTTCACATACACCCTGCAAGTTTAGCGAACAATACCAACCCAACTAGTCTCATCCAGCAATCCAAACTCTCTATTGCTAACCTCTTGCATAAATTTAAAGCGTGAATTCTTTATCAAGGGGACATCGATCAATTGAACTTGTTCTTACCCACTTGATCTTCTCCAAGATTGTCTTTAAGTGCAATGAGTTCTTTTCCTCTCTCTTTCTCACATCAGAACTTTGAAAGGTCAATTTCTCCCTACTTTTCTAGGGTATCATTTTATTTTTTCTATTGACCCTTCTTTCAACCACAGGATAAGTCTTTAGCTTGTTCCTTGTTTGACTAAGGTATTCCATAAGACATGAAGGTACAGACATATGCATTCCTCATGCTTACTTGTTTCCTTGTGCTCTTTGAGCTTTTTCTCATAAATATTACTTACCATTTGGGATGGGAGAGAGAGGAGAACTCTTTAAAGATTAGACAAATCTTATTGAAAATCAAGCAAGGAACTGTCGACATGTATGCCAACCCCCTTGACAAGAGTAATTAAGATTGATTAAGGTGAGGTTAACTCTAGATTGCTTGGTTACCTTAGAAATTTTGCTGAGCTAGCATGTCGATCCACTGTAAGAGCTTCTGTTAGGCTTGTGCCTTTAGCTGGTTTCTGCTCTAGGGTCATGGATTGTTAGCACAACACTCTCAATTCTCAAAGCAAGTTCATAACTTCCGGACTGGTTTTTGACTCAATAAAACTTTTTGAAAAACATGAAACAAAGTGAATAAAACATAAGAAAAGAAAGAAAAATGCATTAGTAACACAATAAAACTCCCCCCAGACTTAACTTGCACCGTCCCGGTGAAAGCAAATCACATTAAGGTGAGAGGTAATATTCAAAGTAAAAGAAAAATAAAAAGAAATTCATTAAAATGAGATAGGGATAGAAAATGGAGATTTGTAAGTGTCCATTGCACTAAGTACCACTTGAGATGACTATGTGTGGCAGTGAGAAGAACTCTCTTCCTCATCTATGGGGTCATCGCCTTCTGAACCAAGCTCTGAGTCTAGTGAGAACTCACCAAGGTCAGGCTCATATGGCTCTCTAGCGGTGGAAGAAGGGCGAAAGAGTCTCTCCGGTGCAATGTGGCGAACTACACGAACTAGGCGTGAGATGAAGCGAGATTGGCACTCCACTATCTTCTCCAGCTTGTTAACACGGTCTAGAGCTTGGTCGCGGCCATGCCAGTAGTGAGAACATGGCGTTCTTGGTGGCGGCGTTGAGTCTTGACTGCATGCTGAAGTGTGCGATAGGTGAGCATGGGGAATGATGGTTTCTCACTTGATGGAACATAGAAGTCTTCCTCATTGGGCTGGAAAGTGACAACACCTGAGCGTAGGCTTGGGATGTCTTCATGTGGCAGCAAGACAAGGGAAGTGTTGGCTGGACCAATTGGAAACTCATAGCAAAACCGAGTTGGGTCTTTAGTCCAACGGTTTAGGAAGTGGATGTGCTGAAGAGCATGGAGATCCAAAGGGGTTGGCTTGGGTAGTGGCTCATAGTTGGGAATGTCAATCCCCACATGTTGTACTATGGCCGTGATAAGCCTCCCAAAACGAACACAAAGCTTCTTGTTGCCTTCCAAGTCTTGAGCTAGCTTCCTCACATTGATGAATGTCTTGGCAAGTAAAAGCCAAGGTTGGCCTTGTACTCATGCTTGATGAATGGTGTGGTGAGGATGTAGAACTCATCAGTTGTGACCTTGTTGGCTTCTTGTTTGCATTGGAAAGTGGTGGAGATGAGGCGGTGCACATAGCGAATGGCTGGATGAGTGATTCTAGACACCTTTGATCTTGAAGGCAAGAATGGTTCATTGGCAAAGTGTGTCCAATCAGCAAAGGCAGCTTGTTTCCTCTTTGAGTTCTCCTTGAAGTCATGTGCTGTCTCATTGGGAAGTCCAAAGAGTTGGCATAGAGCTGAGATGGAGATGCGCCCATTGGCATCGCCTATCTTGAAGAGTAGGAGTCCATCACCAGCTGGTTGGTCTCCATTGTGGTTGGGAAAGGCAAGAGCTACTGTGGAGAGGAACTCCTTGGTGAGCATTGAGTACTCGCTGCACTCTATCTTGAAGAGCTTGCTCAAGCCAAGCTTCCTTAGATACCATGTGACATCATCTTTATCTTGAGAATGCAAAGTGTCCATCTTCTCATATATCTCCTTTCTATTCCTTTTCTGGCCATCCATGATCTGTTGGAGGATTCCTTCAAATCTTCCACCTTGTTGGTTTGGAGGAGCTTGATTTGGTGAAGAAGCATAAGGCTCCTTGGGCGGATATGATGTTCTCTGCTCATACCCTTGCCTTGGCTGGAAATGGCTTCCTTGAGATTGGTAAGGAGGCCTTTGTTGTTGTGGATACACTTGGTCTTGAGGATTCTCCACATTGGGGTTTCTATAAGACATGTTGGGGTTTGGGCGATAGCTTGGATTGTATCCCTTGTTCCCATAGTTTCCAATGTAGTTCACATCTTCTTCATTGGCTTCATTAGAGAAGTCTCCCATACATTCTCTTGATGGGTCTTCATTAGCATCACTCATCCCTTCTATTGCATTGATATGCTTGAGCTGTCCCTTAAGAACTTGAGCCATCATGTTCTTGAGTTCAGTCATTTGAAAAGAATCAGGGGAGTAGTAGTGGTGCGGCTTGAGCGATCATAATCAGGACAATTGTTACAATCACTAGCTGCAAGATTCTCAATAAGAACCTTAGCTTCATCAATTGTCTTGGTCATGAAGTTTCCATTGCTTGCAGTGTCCAATGAAAGCTTGTACTTGTGGTCTATGCCACGATAGAAAATGTTCCATAGGTTTCCCTCCTTGAAAC